TATATATATATACATATACATATATAACAATATGAATTGAAACATACAATATTGTAAATTCAAAATAAACTATTTAGCCGTTTTTTTTTTAATTTTTAACTTTTATTTCTTTTAGAATTTTTGTTTGTGTTTAGCATTTTTTTTTTCTTTTTAATTCTTGGATAAGTTTAGTTTTTGGTTTTTAAATGTTTTCTTTTTAATAAAAAATTGTTTCTCATTTATATATATATATATATATATATAGCATATATATGTATATCGGTTTAATTGTTTAGTTTAACATAATTTTTATGCTTAATAAATTGGTCTTTGCTTCGGCTTTCGTTCAACTAGTTTTGAATACATTTTCTATAATACAATGTAAAGTCAAATATGATCTTTATATTTTTTTTTTACTCTTCATATATATGTATATATACATACATATGTATATATATGTATATGTTTTATTATGTTTTTCTTGACGTGTTTTCTTTTGTTCGATTTTTCTATATAGTTTAACAAGTTTGTTAGTGTTGGGTATCGCTGTGTTTTACAGTGTAAATATTTTACCAAAAAAAATCTTGTTTAGGCTTTTCATTTATCCACTCTTTGCACTTGTCGCACTCATTTAGCTGGGAAATTGTGAACTGAAGCTTTGTGCCGCATACACACACACACACATACGTACACACGCACACACATGAACACACATACGCACACGCACACACATACTAGAGGGCTGCGTAAATGGCAAAAAGATTCCGTTCAAATCAACAATGCTCAAAATGCATTGAGTAACGTTAAAGCTGAAGAAGGAAAGGAGTGAAAGAGAACGCGCGTGGACTCGGCAATTGAGTTGATTTGCGAAGTGACGCATCGCGTCGTGTACAGCAACAAAAACAAAACAATGCGCAGAGATCTTTTTCGTTCACACACACATCAACATACAGCTTCGTCGAACGAAAAGCTCATGCAGTTCGGCAAACGATGTGAATGCTTAGGCCAGTGTTGCCACTTTGTCCAGCGCAAATCTAGCTGCAGCTAATATATTGTTGTAGTAATTGGCTTACCTTATTATTAAGAAGTAATTTGGTACTTTTGAATTGCAATACCTCAAATTTGATGAATGACAAATAATTTACAATATTTAGAAAAATTTTATGAAATAAAATGGATAACAAGCTTGCTGAAAAGAATGCAGCATGTGACGGGAAAAAAGCTGAAATGGCATCTGTATGCTTTGTCCAATTTGCATTCCGTTTTGTGCTTTTGTTTTTGGGAGAGCGAACGCTCGCTCAAATTGAAACTCGCTCAACTCAACTTCGAATGGATATTTGACGTGTGCATGTGTGAGTGAAGCCATGCGCAGCCCTCTAACACATACAGTGTGCACAGTGGCTTCGCACACTTGTTACCGTTACCTCAGAACCAAGAACAACAAACAATGAAAAAAAAAAACCTGCCTAAAAAGTTGGGCTCTATAAATTGTTTTTGTTTAGCACTAGAAAAGTACATATATATCTAGATATAGTATATATATTGAAATACATAGCTATGAATATTAAAAATTTTTTGCTGTTATATTTTGATTTTTGCTGCTTGTGTACCACTGTGCACGCACTACTCAATCAGCCAGCAGAAATGAGTGAGTAAATATAGTTTAGTTTAGTTAATTTTAGTTTAGCTATATATATATATGTATATATATATATATATATTGGGTTCGCATCTAATTCAGTTAAGTTTCATTTGTTTTTTTGTTTTTTTTTGTTTTGTATAATTTAAGACCTGTCTTGAAATTTCGGTCCCTCATATCAAAGTTATTAATTTTAAAGGTATTGTGTTTGTTTGTTTGTTAAGGAAACCAGTTCATACACGGGAAAAAATGTTTGATCCTGTTGTTTAAATGTTCTCTATGTTTGTTGTTCTGTTTGTTCTGTTTGTTGTTGCTTTTGTTGTTAAGTTGAGGTGTTGAAACCCAAATGTGCATGTTGAATATGGTTAATAAACCATTAAAGCTGGGCATACTCTACTTCAAACTCTAAGTCTCTCCTGTATTCTCTCTCTCTCTCTCTCTCTCTCTCTCTCTTATTCTTCGTCTGTCGCTGACTGTATACCCTGTACCCATGGCAAAATGGGCATATTTGTTTCATTCGTTTTTGTTGTGTGCGTGTTTCTGTCTGCGTATATATGTATGTGTGTGTGTGTGTTTTTTTTTTTATTTTTATATATTTTGTGATAAAGCTATTTTGACAGCAGTCTTGAACGTTCATTTCAATTTCAATATTCAATATTATATAAATAGGTATACATTTTTTTAAGGGCTTCACTTTTCTTGTCGCTTTAGGCAAATTTTTGTGTTCATTCGTATATATCCAGATCATTGTTGAAGCTATCGTTGGACTTACTGCAGTTGGACATAATTTTATTTTTTATGTTTAATATTTTGTTCACGTATTTAGTTTTTACTCAAGCTAAAAAAGTCAATTAGAAATAAAAAAAAAAATTGCATACATTTTGAATAAATTTACTCTGGCGCAGCCAACTTCATGCGCACGCTTGGCCAACTTCGCTTAGCGTTGCCAGATCGTTAAGAAAAGCTGAAGCGAAACTAGAAATCTTTAACAATTGAATTTGTTTTTGCCGCTGATTGTTTAAGCAAACTAATTTGGAATGTTATTCAAATTTAATCAAAATTTTATTAATTACTTAAATCAAATTTGTTTGGCTCTAATTGACGCATTTCTATTGCAGCGCTTGGTACAGTTTTTTTTTTTTTTTTTTAAGTTAGCTAAACGAGTCTCTTTTTCTTTTGTATTGTTGCATGGCTCTACTTAGGGGTATTTGATTTAGGGGGAGGGTTCTTTGATCCATTCGATTTAGCTGTAATTTCTTTAGTTTCTCACATTGGCATTTGCATTTCGGGGAATTCAGTTGTAAAACTTATTGAACTCTGGTATTTTATTTTTTAGCTTTTTTTGTTTTTGTTTCTTTACTTGTTTATTCTTCTTTACTTATTTGCGACTCGCCTAAAAGCTTTTTATAGTTTATGCGTTTTACATATACATATGTCTATATATATATATATATATATATATATATATAATTTTTTTTTCTATTTTGTTTTTTATTATATTTATTTCATTTACCTATTAAAAAAAAACAATTAACTTCGATGCTCGCAGTTAATACTTCATTTCCTTTTAGAATCTTTAGAAAAACTTTCGTAGCTGTGCCACTCGCCTATAAACTACAAACTAGTTTTTTATTTTTTAATTTTTTTTTTTTTATTTTTCGGTATTTTTTCTTTACAACTAATTCAATTAATTTTGGTTTTGTTTAGTTTTTAAATATTTTACAAAATTCAATTTAAAATTCACTTTACTTGACTAATCTTTATTTTCTTTGTTAATTTTGTAATTTTCAATTTAGTTTTTATTGATCTCGTAACTCTCTCAAAAGCTAGTCAGGTTCTTAATTGAGTTTCTAATTCTTGGGCTTTTGTTTTTGTTGGGCTATTTTTGTTTTTTCTTTTCCTTTTTTTTTTTTTTAGTATATATATCTATATGTGTGTGTATATATATAGCAACATTTTAGTTGAACTTGGTTGAACTTGTTATATCTTAAAACAATTTGAATACTCGTATTAACATATTTATTATATGTTACCTATATATCCATCACACACATACACAAAAAAAAAAACAACATCTATACACACACACACACACACACACTCATACACACAATCCTTTGCCTTTTAGCCAAGTCTGTCGTAATTTCTATAAGATCTCAACTCAAGAATGGCAAATGTTGTCGCAGTTTTATGGAGCCTAGAGCTTCCTAGGTTTTTCCTTACTCGCTCATGCATTTCATCTGGCTTTTGTACGTCTTTTGATATATGGCTATATAGCGTCGATGCGATTTCGATTTTTTAACAAAACAATTTTAGCTACCCTATTACAGTTGAGATGCTCTATGGATTTTTCATAAACGATAACTATATAGAACTCTAGGAGGCGTGGCGTATCTGTAAACACATTTTTGAAGCAAGAATTCTGAAATTATCTAATCTCAAAGCTTTCAGAGTGCTGCAAAGTCGTTTCTGTTATATCAATTTTGACTGTGAGCGAGTATTTTGTGCAGTCGAACATGACCGACTATCGTTAGCAGACTGTTTAGTTAAATATGATCTATTATATTTCTATTATAATCAACTCTAGGCATTTGCTATGGTCGAAGAAGCCTTGCTCTCTCTTTCTCTCCCGATTTTTTTGCAGACTCGGCTTGAATTGTGGTTTTTTGATCTATTCATTCCTTCATTCGTTCCTTCACTCATTCATTCACTCATTCATTCACTCATTCATTCTGTATTCAACTTTCGCTCTCGCTTAAATTTCAACTCTATGCTAGGTAATGCCAATCCAAATTACTAGATAGATCATATGCTTAGAAAAAAAAAAACACTATACGTAAGTTTATATATATATGTATATATATATATATAGTTATATATGTATATAGAGTTATATATGTATATGCTAACATTTGACTTTTGTCTTTCCCATTTCGAAGTGGATCTATTTACAAAAGGCCGATTTCGAAATTAGACTTGTAGAATTACTAATATTACTATTACTTGTATTATTACTATTATTACTATTGTTACTATTACTACTATTATTGCATATACGTTCTCTTTTTCTAGTAAACTTATTCTCAGTGATCTTTGTGGCCATCGACGCTGTCGCCGCCGTCGACGCTGTCGCCGCCGTCGACGCTGTCGCCGCCGTCGCCGCCGTCGCCGTCGCCATCGCACTCGCATCTTTACCGATAACAGCGTTATCGATATCAACAGCTATCGCAGCACTCTCAACATCCTCGGGTATAGCAGGTATGCTAATGCTCTCAACGATACGCTGATGCGAAAACGAATGCTGATGCTGATGCTGATGCGAATACTGATGCATCGATTGATAGTGTTGCAGTTCGATGAGCTGTTCCCGTTCCATCGATGATGTTGGCGAATGGAAACGCTGTCGCAGCGCCGTCTCCATCAATGTCGTTGTGGATCTTGTTGGCGACATCGATTTGGACATGGTCATTGTTGTTCCAGTTGTTGTTCGATTTGTTGTTCCAGTTTCATTTCTAGATGATGATGTTAGCTCTGCTGTCGTTGTCATGGCTCGTAATGGATGCATCTCAATGTTAATCACGGAGTTGGAGCGCTCTCTGTCTGATATTCAGCTGCCGTATTTGTTGGAAGATGCGTAGCTATTAACTGCAGATCCATTTGATGGCATGTGAGTATCAGGCACTAAATGTGGTGTTCTACTAGATATAGGTGGCAAAATAGGGCTTGTTGGCCAATGGTAAGTAGCAGCGGCGTTATTGGATGAGGGTACACTTCTATGCAAAAAGCAGTATATATATATAATATATATGTTAATTCTCAATTAGATTCGCATTGCGGCCGGAAAAAAACGGCGTTTGTGTTTGATTTTTACTATCGATTAACGATTATCGATTATCAATTATCAATTCATTATCATTATCATTAGCATTAGATTATGTCAATGGTTAGATGTGTGTGAGCTCGATCAATATGCCAAAAGTTAGCTAGATAGCGCTATGATATGATATAAAAAAGCCATATGGAATGCATTTTCAAACCAATCAAATTAAATTGCAAAATGTTTTGTTTTTTTTACTCTCTTTTTGTTTTGTTCTCTGTTTCTGTTACTGTTCCAATTCCAAAATGCAAATTGATGGCACTCACAGACACTCTCTCTCACTGTATTCTATTTTGTTTTTCTCTATATTTATTTTTACCAAAAATAATCACATGCATCTTGCATAGAAGAAGAAAATGCCACAAAATTTGTACGATGAGGGGATTTCGGGGGGGTTTCGATCTGGAACTACTACTTGGACTCTCACAGTGACTCAGACACACACAAACAAAGAGTACTACAACAAAATGCAAATATGAAACGAAATAGACGAAATGAAAACAACAAATGTATCGATAGTTGAAGTCCACGGACAAAGTGCTCAGAGCGGGCATGAATCGATGACGATATATATCGAGCAGCAATGCCAAGTTGTTAGTGAACAGCATTTTCTTAAAACGATAGCGATATATCGATAATCTGCACTGTCATCACTTTAGATATATACATATATAAGTATCTTGTATATATGGATATCTCATATTAAATTGGTATATATTGGAGTATGTTATGCAATTAGTAGTCATATATCGATATATAAATAGCCAGTTTATATGTCTATCGAATATCGATTGCTTGAAATGTGATAACATATCGATATATCGATTATTTATTACTTCTTGTTTATATATATGGATATTGCCAGCTTTAGTTGGTATTGTTGTTGTTATTTATCGATACACATATCGATAGTCAGACAAATGTGTGCTATCTATATTCAAATTGACATTTTCAAATTGGCATTTCAATTAAAAGTGCTTTTATTGATATCATATGTCCATCTGGGATATATATGTATATGCTTCAATATGAGTGGGCAATACCCCAAACAATATTTATATTAATTCAATAGCCATTAAATGGCTTAGCACTCGAGTGGTTCAGTATAATATCGAGTGGACTTCAACTAGTTGAGCAGTCAATGGAAATGATGCGTGCTTGTGGTGATTATGACGATGACAATGACGATGACGATGACGATGACGATGATGATGATGCATATGCATAAGCTAATTGCAAATATTCTCAATGGGCCACTTACCTAGAGTGGGGGAACAGCATGGGGGCCGCATTGAACATGGATTGGGGCGTGGGCGGTTGAATCGATGGCTGAATGGCAGCGGCTGCTGTGTCCGGGTGCAGAAAGTTGCGTCGTTGCTCGATGCGCTCCTGATGCTGGGTCAAACAGCGCGATAATAGATCTGGAAGGCTTTCCATGTGCTCCTACAGAACGAGAGAGATGGCTCGTTAATCGATAACACATATCGATAAGTGCAATGGATTCTCTACTCACTTGTAGACTTTGCATTTTGTCCTCTAGATTCGTTAGGCGCTCCTCGATGGCATCCTGTCGACTCGACATTTCCGATATTATTTCATAGACCGTATTTTGTGTCTGTGATGGAAAATATTTGGTATTTTTTGTTTGTTTGTTGTTTTTTTTTATCGATAAATAATATTATAAACATATGAATCAAATACTGTGGATTTTTAACTACCTTGGCCATATCGGTTATTGTGTTGGCATTATCCATTAGTTTGCGTTGATCCATTTTAACTTTTCGCAACCTAGTAGCAGTTGGGGGGGAAGAATCATCGAGTTTATAAACGATATTATTGAATAGACAAACAAGATCTAATTCATTATTTCATTACATCATTCATTTATCATTGTGGTAGCTCGAGCAATGCATTGACGTCGTGAAAATGCATGGCTCGATCACATAGTGGAACGGACAAGGGGCTCATTACGCCTCCACGTATATATAGATATATATACGATATAGGTATATATAGGTATATATACGATATATATCAATTTGATTGTGATTAAATACAATAAATAAGAAAACAATTTTGTTTCTGAAAGTTTTGTGATTTTTTTTTTTTGTGCTTTAAGTGTTTTTTTTTTTCAAAATAAAAAGTTTGTGTTTTTTTTATTTATTTTTTTTTTTTGGCTTAGCGTTAAGATTACAGAAAATCACATCAAAAATTATCAACAAGCAATTGAATCTATTTTTCACTCTGTATATATATAAGTTGGATATTAGTTTCGATGATAGGCGCACTACACATGAGCTTAAAGCTTCTATTAAAAAACTTTGATTAACTAGAGCATGAAATGATTGAAAGCTTGAAAGACATGTATACGCGATATCTTGGGGTATTTTTCGTGAAAGTCTGAAAGTACTCTAATTTAAAAGCTCTTTGAAAGCTGTTAATAAAAGTTGTTTGATAAGCTGTTTGTTTTAGATAACTTAACTGCTCTAAAGCTGTCTGAAAGCTTTTTGAAAGAACAGCTGAGCTGCTTGCCTTAGGTCTTGCTCTTAAAATTAATATTAAAAGCTGTTTTATCAGTGCTGAAAAACTTGAAAGAGCACATATGATATATGCCTATGAAACTGCATTAGAAGCGGCTTTGGAAGTTACTGAAAGCTTGGGGGAATAAGCTTTAAAAGCTGTTTGAAAAAGCTTCTTGCGGTGATAGCTACAAAAACTGTTAAGTATATATACATGAGTATTAGACTAATATATATATAGATATAAGATATAGGCAATGTCAAATTATAGTATTGCAAAAGCTGTCGATAGTTTTAGATATGAGTTTCTGGAAAATTAACGCTGCATGCTAGGTATATTGTGGCTAGTTTTCGGTATTATCATAACGTAAAAACAGGGCTTTACAACCTATTTACAGGCTAGTAAAACGAGTTCAATCATTTAATTATGTAGATTTTCTCTTTTTTTTTTCTTTTTAAATTTTATTTTTTCATTAATCGATTTTGTTTTTAGTTGGTTATTGCACTCATTGATTGCTGTTCATGATAGTATTAGTTCTGTAATTCTATGTACATTTGGGAGAGTATATAATAATTATTATGTATACATATATATATGTATAATTATATATATATTGAAGCAGACTCTTCACATTCACATTACAAATCTTTGGGATTACTAGGCAAACAAATAAATGAAAGAACAGAACAAGTTGAAAGCTTGGATATAGTTTGGGTGGGGAATATACGCGATAGCTAACAGAAAGAATGTATACGAGAGTTGAAATTTTTATAGCATACTTTTCTGGGACATGCCGATTGAAATGTGACAATTAATATATAGAATTCTCAGTACAAAATGAAACTCATTCGTATCTCCTTCCACAACCGTCAATAGGTCAACTATCCAAGTTTCTCAGAGAGCCCTAATGACAATCTATGATTTATTTGGATATTGGCTATGAAAATCTTTCGTCTAAAAATGTGCTAAAGCGATGTATTGATAATAGTTGCTGAAAACAGATATCGATAAAATATATCGCTTGTAGTTATCGATAACAATATGTTCAAATTAACGATAATCAATAATATATCAATGCTAGCTATCGATAGTGGCATTTCTCCTACAGCAATTATCGATAACAAGTATCGATCAAAGTTATCAGTTAAGATACCGACTGTTGCTATTGATGAAGTATCGAAAACAGTTATTTTTAGCTGTGTCAGTGAAAAGTTTCCAACACCTCTTGCTAAGAACAGCTATCGATATTAATTATCGACAAAAGCGATCGATAATCGCTAACGATTACAGTTAACGATGTTAGAGGCCAAAGGCTATGGCAATAGCTGGCCCACAAACACACACACACACACACATACATACACACATACAGTTATTTAGGTATATAAATACGCACATGTATGGACAGTTGGACACAGGACAAGAACATAACCAAAAATTGTTTGAAAATCGTGATATTATGATTGGGGTTAGTCGCACTTTATTGAGCTTTTCGTAACGGAGCTTTGTTTTTGGGTTTGGATTTCGTTCAGGCTATATGGTTGCATTGTACAACAGATCTATTAACTATATATACATATATATATATGTACATACATCAACGTATATAGATATATATATAGATATATACATAGGATATATGTTATTGCTTTGAGTCCTTTCAATTGATAGAGGATTCAGTTGTAGTTGTTGTTGTTTCATTAACTCAGTTAAAAGTTCTTGTTATATTGATTGATATTTGTTGGTGGTTTCTGACAGTTAGTTGTTGATATTGTTGATAGATCTCTAAAAATACTCACGCATATATAGCTAGAAGGAACTTTCTTTGGTGGGTTCTTACACGGCCGGGATTAACCCGTTTTACTAGTCTTGTATGTTTGTAAATGAGCCAAGTTTCACGTAGAACATTCGCCGCAGCATTTTTCAGCTATATTTTTATGAGAAGAAATGAATTATTAGAAATTATTAGAGTTGTGGGGTAGTTGTGTTCCTCTATTCTACGAGTACTTAGTAAAACCAAACGATCTATCGAAACTCCTTTTATATATGTCAATGTCTTACGGTCGATGTTGGGTCAAATGTCAAAGTAACTTAAGTTTTGCATTTAAGCTTCGGGTCGTTGGGTAAAGTCATTGAGGTTGAGTGTGTCTGCAACGTTACTCTATAGACCTAGGTAGTTTTTCTGGGTACTCGGTTAAATCCATTGAATGTTTGCTTTTAACTGTATTTTTTGGAATTTATTATGCAGTTAATTGCTGTTATGGTTAGTATTTTGGTAATTCGTAGAGATAATTGTCTAGAGTTTAGTATTTTTCGCTATTGCTTGTACTTTTCAGTAGTTAGGTTTACTTTTGTAGTCGTTGAGTTTATTGTCTACCGTCTAAAATAGTCCGTAAAGTTAATTTTACAGAATTGCAGAATGTTCGGTATTTTTTGGTATTTTTGGTATTTTTAGTATTTTTAGTATTTGTCAGTAGTGGACTCTGGTTACTGATTCTATGTTTGCCGTAGAAGGTACTCTGTACAGTTGATTGAGTAGCTCTTGTGGAAACTTGCGTCATTTTCATTAATTTTCAGTGATGTGTAGTATTTTCAGTATTTCTGCAGTATTTTCTCAGTAGTTTATTTAGTTATCAAAGTCATGTCTAAGCAAAGAGTTAGTTGTGCTGATTTTGGTATTTGTTGTTGATATTCTCCCAAGATTGTTGAGCTTGATGTCTAACGGTACTCTATAGAGTTAGTATTTTGTTGGTATATGTATGTGTATAAATTTGACTAAGTTGCGTCTGTGTATGGTATGGTACGCTATGGAGTTACTTTGATTTCCAGTATTTTTTTGGTATTTTCGGGGCATTTACTTATATATTTTTTGGTATTTTCAAAAAAAAAAAGCAATGATTACTATTCATGGAGACGATCTATACCCTTTTTGTTAACTGCGTGTCCATCATAAAGTTGTGCACATGCTTCTCGGCACGGGTCAGCTCCAGCTTGCGTGAGACAACAGCGACAAGTAGAGCCGTACAGCCAGCGCCCTGTAAAACGATAACAGATCAAATCGACATTAGACTATCACATAAATGTGGTATTTTTTCATTGTTTTTATTTTTTTTTAATTGCTTTTGTCACAGGTAGATGCATTGATTGCACTGCAGCTGAAACAGATGCAAAGTAGAGATCGCATTTGATTCTCTATTGCATCTAGATTTCGCTTGGTCAGCGAGCAATCAATCATGATTAAATTAGTCGTTTAGTAATGGTTTGTTTTCTGTATTGGTATTTTTATTTTTTTTTTATTAATGCCAGTTAATTGTCTTGGATTAGACATTGAAATGATTTGTTTAAGTCCAGAACTTTTGTTGCTTCTCAATAAATAAATGTATTTATATATATATATATATATTTTTTTTATTGTTATGTGTTTTCGTATTGCTGTCGCCTCTGCCTATACGTATTTTATTTTGAAATTCGAATTCGTTGAATCACATTAAAAATGAGCGAGAGATGCGAAGAGATGAGAATGCAGGATAGCAGTTAGATTGGATTGTATGGAATGACTGAATGAGTGCAATGTCTTAGATGTGGTTTACTGTCGGAAGTTGGAAATATATATGCATATATATGTATATATACATATATCTATATATATATATCGATATATATTTATATATAAATCGAAATTAGAATACGTTCTCAAAGTTGTCTATATGGATTACAACAGTTAGAGCTTTGTTTGTTTTTAGTATTTTAGGTACACACATACGTAACAAAAGAGTCTAGTAGAATAAAGGATTTTTTTTAGATTTTTTAGTATTAAATTTTTTTAGTATTTTTTTGGGTATACTTTTTTAAGGTATTTTTATTTTGTATCACAATTTCAATTTCAAAGACTACGACATGATCAATATGCATGTAAAAGATAGAGAGAGAGAGAGAAAGAGAGGCAGTGAAAGAGACAGGCAGAGAGAGAGAGAGAGAGAGAGAGAGAGAGAGAGAGAGAGAGAGCGAGCAAGCAAGAGCGAGACGCATATATATAATCATAAGAAAGAGTTAAGGACAGAGCCAGGAAATTAATTTATGTTGTAAAAAGAGAGAGAGAGAGAGAGAGAGAGAGAGAGAGAGAGAGAGAGATAGGCTGGGAAGGGGAGTGATTTGAGTGTAACGGCCCCGTTTTTGATAACATATCGTTAACGATAAATGTTGAATAATACCACACGCATGCATATTACTATTCGTATTGCCAACCTGTTCCAGATCCAATGTGACAGGGCAAATGAGTGAAAAGCATCGGTTTTGGACTATCTCGTAGCCCTCTCGGCTATCGGTTATCGGCTCTGCAGATGGACAATGTGTTATCGCGATGCATGTGGGTATGTATGTATGTATGTATATATGTATGTGGTAGTTATATATGACAAAAGTACATGATTGAAGTACTTAATTAGTAATTCTAAGCTAGAAGAGGGGCGTGGGGCGTAGGGCGTGGCGGGGGTTGAGTTGAAGTTGGGTGGGGGGTATAAAATTGCTGACTAATTTATTGTAATTTTTTTTTAAAGTGAGTTTTCTTAGATTTTTTGTTGTTGTTGTTGAGCTAAAATGTAATTATTTACATATGAATCAATCGATAAACCGAATTATCGATAAACGAAATGAGCAGGATGTTCGATTAGAAACAGTTAATTTTTATCGCTAATTTGATGTGTGTGCAGTTGGACAGTTCTTTTTTTTATTTTTGAATAAGAAAATATTTGTTGGATTTTTTTGTATTTTTTTTTTTTTTTTTTTTTTTTTTATTTGTAGGTTAAAAACTCACCATTATTCCTGTACTGACAGCGATACCACGTCCACAGTACGTATTCGGAACAATATCACCGAAACCAACACTCAAAAATGTTATCGCTATCAGCCACATTGCATTTAATAGATTCGCATGTTCTTCGTCATGAAATCTGCATTTGCAGTATTAAGTATTTTTTGCATCCATTAGGCATATATTTATGTATATATATTTGTATATATATGGTTGTAATATATATTGGTAGTAATATATATTTTTCGACATATTTCAATTCATATAGTTCGGTATATTTTCGGTATATTTGCAGTAGTTTTGCAGTAGTTTTTGTATGTAAATTGTAAAACGCAGTCAGGGGCAAAAAATACGCGTTTACATATTGTTTGTTTTGTTTATTTTTGAACGGGTATACGAGCGCGCAGAGCGTATTATTCAGTATTAAATGAAAGGGAAAGAGAGATAGAGAAAAATATCGTATTGTTTTGGCTTAATATACACAAAAACGAACACATAATAAGTATATAAGAATATGTATAAATCAAAAGTCAGAATTATTATTGTTTACTCGTTTCAACATTGAACAAAACAAAAAACAAAAAAACAACAAAAACATCTAACGAAAACAAATGAAACACTTAAAGTTAGGCTCAAACTATTAAAAAACAGAAACCAAAATAAGAAAAAAAAAAAATACTAAAAATTAAAAGTAGCAGCAAATAGCAACTGATAAATGTATGATAATCTCAACTGATGACAGGCATAAGAATATATATATTATATATATTTATAGAAAGAGAGAAAAATGTGGGATAAAAATTATGCAAAGATAAAATGGTTTTTTATTCAGGAATCTGGTATTTTTGTTGTTGTTCTTTTACTGCAGAGTGAATATTCAAGAGACAGACAGATAGAGAGAAAGAGAGAGGGAGATAGAGACAGAGAGAGGAAGTAAAGAAAAGGACAACGACGAAAACCGAGTGACAACAAATTTAGTTTGAAGAATTCTAAGAATTTTCAAAGTATTTTTTTTTTTTTTTTTGGTTTGATTTTGAATTTTGGCTAAAGTAGAGAGGTAAACAGAGAGAGAGAGAGAGAGTCAAGAGAAAGTGCAAAACATTTATTGTTTTTTTTTGTTTCTATTTAGGTGACTTAAAATTGAAAACACACACACACACACTTAAAAAGAGAGAGAGAGAGAGAGATAGACATATATATATATATACATTTGTACAGGTCTATGGGAATACTTATATATGTATATACATGTATACATAGTTCTATGTATGTATATGTACGGCATGAGCTGTCAACAAGGATTTGTTGCCTGTTTGTGGTAACGGAAACACAAAACAAAAGTTTGCCAGGCACACACACACACACACACACACAGAGAGAGAGAGAGAGAGAGAGAGAGGAGAGAGGCACAACCAGAGCTAGAGCAAAATAGTGTAAAAAGACCTATGCATATTATACATATGAACGCTTAAATATATATATATATGTGTGTGTGTGTGCAAGTGTGTGCTTAAACATATGTATATATATATATATGTGTGTGTATATGTACGATTATATATATGTATATATAGAAGTAATGCAGATGAACATGGCAGGAAAACACACACATACACACACACACGCACACGCACACACACATATAGAAGAAACGATTTATGCATGAATTGTTGTTGTTGTTGCTGTTGTTGTTATTGTTGTTGTTGTGGTTGCTGTTTTGGGTGGTTTTTGGTGGGCGGCTTGGTTGGTTTTCGGGTGGCTTGGAGTTTTTGGTGTCTTGATGATATTTAACAGAGACAGAAACTGTTCTGCTCTCAAATATTGAGATTTATGGAATGAACTAAACGCGCGCGCAATGCCCTGCATACAAAAAAAAAAAAAAGTTGAAGAGAAAGTAGTAGTAGTAGTAGTAGAAGAAGAAGAAGTTCAAGCTAATCAGCTAAAATCGCGCAGCCGATATCTGTGCTCCTTGGCAGATGGCCAACAGAAGCCGACACAAACACACTTACACACATACATACACAGACGTGTGCATGTGTGTGCGTGTGTGTGCTTGCCTAGCATTGATTGTCTCGCTTTAACATTATATCGTATGCATGTTGTGTAACGCTTGTTGTTGTAACATATGTTATTAACATTGTCTGTACGGCTACTGTTAACTGTTAACTGTTAATTGTTCTGTTCTGTTGATTGATATGTTCTGGTTTCTTTTACTTTTTCTCTTTTCTTATGTTTTCTTTTGTGGTTATATATTTGCTTTGTTTAATATTTACTTTGTTTTTGGTATTTTCTGGTTTTTGTTTTTCTATATATATTTTTTTTTGTGGGGTTTTCTAGTTGGTATACTTACCACCATGCCGCAGGTGAGGGTTATACCCCGTCCACAGTATGTGTTTGGCACAATGTCGCCATAGCCGACACACAGAAATGTGATGGCCGTTAGCCACATGGTGTTTAGCAAATTCGCGTGCTCCTCATCGTGGAACCTTCGGTTGGGACAATCGATATTCGATATTCGATATTCGACATTCGATAGGCGATAGGCGATATTCGATACGGCATGTGATGTGTGCAATACGTTTATCAAGTTTGTATTTGGTATTGATCGATTTTTATCGATATTAATCATTGTGGTTATCGATAATTTATGTTATCGTTGTCGATATCGGTTTCATAGTGCAGTTCAGTTGGTAGCAAACATATATTCACATATATATATACACATATATCGGGGTATATGTATATATTTATCGATATATGCATATTCGTAGACATACATATCGTTTGTTATTATTTAGTAGTTTTTGGCATTGCGAGTATATATATGTATATACATATATAGATCGGTATTTTGATTGTTAATATCGGTATCAGTATCGGTATCGGTATATTCAGTATTCGGTATTTCGGATGCGTATGCGTTTACATAATTTTTATATATTTGTTTTTTTTTTTTTCAGATTGAATTTTCATTTTGCAATTTGTGGATACAGAAGTAGGGTGAGAAGTGGAGTAAACAAATAAACAGATGTGAAATTATGTGAACATTTTTTCTTTTTGGTATTTTTTGGGTATTTTTTTGGTATTTTTCATTATCGAAAAGAAAAAAACAAAACAAATAACAAATAGCACAAATATATTATATATCTTTTGGTTTTCTTTTTCAAATTTTGTTGTTATATAATAATTAAGTATTACACAAATCGAACAAAGAATCATAAACTATATATATAATACATATATAATTATCAAATCAATAGATACGAATGAAGAGAACAAATATGAAAACACAAAAGGATAAACGAACATATAAACGAACAAATATATATACATATATAAGTATATATATATACATACATATACATATATAAATATATATAGAGAAAGAGAGAGAGACATAGAGTGGATAGACATAGTAGAATCAATAGAAGGAATCAAGTTCAGAATAGGACAACCGAAGGGGGTACGAATATATACGTATATATATATATATATATATATATATATATATATGTATATACAGTGACACGCTTGATTATCATTACATTAATTAGGGTTAGCACATAGTTAAGTTAGTTTAAGTTAAGTTTTCATAGAGCTCTTCATAAGGCTTAAGCTGAAGGCACAAGCTGAGCGAATGCAACATGAATGGAGGCCTGATCTTATAAGGTGGGTGTTTGTATGTGTGTTTGTGTGTGTGTTCAGCCCTGATCTGAGATAAAAATGGGGAAAACCCTAACTAAAGTGACTGATAAAGTGCCTGCTAAACTGACTGAAAAAGGAGAGAGAGAGAGACAGAGTTAAGTAAACTTGATTACGATAGTGTCACACAAACTAGCTGGCAAAGTGACTGACAAACTGCCTGTTAAATTGCCTGACCGACTGACTAACTAATGAAAGAACAAACACGATTCACAGAGAGAGAGGGAGAGAGAGAGGGAGAGAGCACAGCAGATGGACGCTGAGAGATAAATACTAACCAGCTGACAAAGTGACTGACAAACTGCCTGCTAAATTGATTGACTTAACTGATTGGATTCAGAGGGACAGAGATAGAGAGAGAGATAGGGAGATAAACATATAAAGGAAGTGAGTGTGTGCCCTGCAAGGAACTGCTGCTGGCTTTAATTAGATCAAGACTAATGCCACACACATATACACACACACACGCAGACATGCACAGTTAGCCTCAACTAACTGAAAATGTTACTGGCTGCAGGTGCAGCTGCAATTGCAACTGAGTCACATAACTGTTAAATGCCGACGAAGGCAATTACGGCTCAAGGGGCTCGTTCTAAGCCCAAGCGTGGGCGTGGCTAATGTCTAAGGGGGGGCAGGGCGGAAGCGGTGTGGTCGTAGGTCATGTGAGCAAACTAATGAAGCTGAGCAGCGGCTGATGAGCAAACATGAAATGATGAGCCAACTATGCAGCGGATGCTGTGCTTTGTCTTGCATCTCACTCTCTCTCTCTCTCTCTCTCTCTCTCTCTCTTTATGGGTGTGTGTGTGTGTGTGTGTGAGTGCAGTGTTGCAAAACGCAGCAGAGACTGTGTGCGCTGTGTGTCGCTTGTTGTGGCAAGCAAATGTCAAAATGTCCCTTTGATGGCCCTTAAACCCAACAAAAGGGAAGCAAACTGAGCGAACATTTTGCCTTGAGCAGCTCGTTAAGCTCGCTATAACTGTCTCTTCATCTGTCTCTTCCTCTGTCTCTGTCTCTTTGTTTCTCTGTCTGTCTTCCGCTGTCTTCTGCTACTGCATAATTGGTATCGTTATCGCTATCGTTATCGTTATCGTCATCAGATATGCCAGTCAGTTTCTACCAACATATACTTTACTTGAAGGCACACATACACACACACACACGCACACAGACACACATATTGGAGACTTTGATCTTAATTTCGATAACTGCATAGGCATACGTAAAAAAGCTTTTGGAAATACATTATCTTTTTAGATTTTAAATGAAGTGAAACACTATAATTTATCGATATATCGATAGCTTACTGCTGTATGCTATAATTGTAATGTTAGGGAATCTATCAATATTGGGTAGCAATGCTGTATACAACGATAACAGGGTGGAAAGCTACAGCTTATCACTAACGTATTTTTATTGCAATCGACTTATCGATAATGATTGATAGCATATAAACTCGTTATTGTAAGCGAAGACATGAATTTTTTCGATATATCCATATTTTTAATCGACGCTATCGAGTTGCGATAGATTAACATTTCATACTTCTCTATAGTCTAACTAGCAATATTATAATATAGCTACCCATAGCTTATGTTGTTAATTAATGTATCAATATTGGCTTTATATAGCGATATTACCAGCTTAAAAATTTTAATACCAATATGGTGAATACTTAGCAGTACCATATACGGAACTTTTCCGTTTATCGATATTGTGTATGTATATTACGGTACCGATATCGATAGCAAAATGCAAAGCTAATCGAAAGTTTGCTATAGATGAATATATATTTATGAATGGAATATAATAATATGATTGATATATCGATTGATATATCGGATTTGAATAAATCGATATCGAAATTGAATATTGTGCGTTAAACAACTGTAATCTAAAGTCCCCAATATGCTAACAATCGCTCTTTTGTTTATTCTAATTGCTCTTTCTACCTAATTAGAGATATCGATAAGGGGGTATCGCTTTAATAGTTGCCCCTCTTTCCTCAATTGGAACTCCTCTTCTATCTACCATGTCGAGCTGAACTACTGGGAAAAAACTATGCAGTTGGTATAGGAAATAATTATATATTTATGTATGTTAAAAAATGGAATTTCAAATTTAGTTTGCCAAAAGTTCTACTGTAAAAAACCATAATAAAAATAAGAAATGAAAATAACAGAACAGAAAGAGGACAACATTTAGATATTATGATAATCAAATGGGCAATCTTTAATCTAAGAATGTAAAGAATAAATTGGGCAAATGCAAACGTTTAGTTTGTAGGGTAAATTAGGTAGTAGTTTTATAGGAACCAATTATTATTATTATTATATAAATGGACATCAATATATCAATCAATATATGTATATAAATATATATATGTATATGTATGTATGTATGTATGTATATGTGAATGCGTCATATACCTATATATATGCATACATATATATATGTACATATGTATATACGTTTAGAAAAATTGTTATACATAGTTAAAAATACACCAAATAGCACAAATCGTATACTAAATGAGTTTTGTTGTTGTTGTTGTTGTTGTTCTTGTTCTTTCCTAAAGGGAATCGCATAGTATGTCTAGTTCCTTCTTTATAGCCCGAATATATATGCATATATATATATATATATATATATATTTGAGCACATGTGTGTATTTCTGTGTTGTATCGCAACGCATACGATAGAAAGATGATAATCATCGCTTACGTTTCACAAACAAGTAAAAGAAAGGCGTACAAGAAAACCCAAAAGAAAAGAGAAAAACAAATAAGAACCCACAACACGGAAAACAGAAAGAACAAAAGTGAAATAGAGAAAAGGGAAAAGTGTAACCGATACACAGTTCGTTGGAAAGTATTGAAAGAACGTCATAGAAGGACACGCATTAGCGATGGCATTTCATTATAAAACTGATGAGCAACGAGAGCGAGAGAGTGAGAGATATACTGTATGTAGGTAGAGTGAAGAGAGCGGGCTTGGGAGAGGATATGAGCCCCAGTAGCATTTGCCACGTCATGGGGGCTTAGCCAAAGGTCGTAGGCCAAAAAACAAAACCGAATAACGGAATGAAAACAAGATAAAAAAAAAAAGAAAATAAAAAGAAAAAAAAAGACAGCAATAAGCAAAAATGCCAACAAAAACAAAAACAGATAAACAACAAAAATGTAAACGACACAAGTAACGGGAAAGCAAAATCGAATAGTGAGTGGGCAAGTTGAAGGAGTCGCAGTCGCTGGCAAAAACAAATACGCCCACGCAGCACAAAAAGGAATAAAAATATATAACGGTTAAACGGCTGCGGCCAGCGCTAAAGCTCTGTGGCTATGGCTGCCGCTGTCGCTGTCGCTGTCGCTGTCACTGCCGCTGTCGCTGTGAAAGTTGCGGCTTATTTATGAATTATATTTATGCACAGCCAAGCTCCAGCAACAACAACAACACGCGGACAGCAGGCAGCGACAACAACAGCAGGCAGCAAGCATAGCACGTGTCGCAAAACTCCCGTTCGCTAATGCATACATACATACGTATGTATGTATGCATGTATGTACATATGTAAGTCTCTGTGTATGCGCTCGTCCATTACAAATAATTCAAGTCACATTCGGTTACACTGATTAACAGAAGATTTCGGTTTCTCTTCAATTGAATTCAATTTGATTTTGCCATTATATAATTTGTTTTTATGTTTCTTGTTTTGGTAGTAGTAGTAGTAGTAGTAGTAGCAATTGTTGTTGTAGTTGTATGTAAATATATATAGTAAATATATGTAGTTACTTGTTATGCATACGATATACGATTTCTAGAGCAATGCAGGCGTTAGTTCAATCCATATTGGAAGCTTAATAAATACAATGTACGAGTAAAGAGTTAGACTCTCTTACGGCTGTACTAAATACAAATACAACACAACACGACACACAATACACATCACACACACACACACGCACACATATACATACAACACACACACCTGCACAATAGCCTAAAAAATTAATCAAAAATATATATGTAATACACAGACTTAAGTTAAAAGAATGAAAAAGTAAAAAGTTAAACTAAAGTTTTTTTTTGTTTTATTAATATTATTATTATTCGGGTAGATGGTCACACTGAGAAGTGCAAAGCAAGCAAAAACTCGCAATTATCAATTATCGTCAGAGTACTTAGTGATGGGCTAATTGAGTGCAACGTTGCTATCGAAATGAAGTGTTATCGATATTGTATACGACAGCAGGAGAGATAGAGAGAAAGAGAGATACAGCAGACAGAGAGAGACAGTTCGAGAGAGACAGAATTGTGTGTATTTTTTGTTTTGATTGAGTTTGTTAAAGCTAAGCATACGAAGTAGATATATAAATATTAGCAAAAGTAACATGATTAAATACTACGCAAGGCAATAAAAAAAAAAAAGATTTTATAAGATATGATTAAAGGTAAATATAACTAATTTAGCTAAATGGACTACAAATTGAACACGAGCAGAGAATCTTAAGGATTTTTTTTATTTGTTCGTTCGCCTTTCGTTTCAGTCGACTGCAGCTACACTTAAAAGGTCGCAAGAGCGAGCGGGACAGCTATCGTTTTTAATACCTACTAATTCACGCACGCACGCACACGCACACGCACACGCACACAAACAGCAAATGCAATCGCCAATGGAATATCATTCAAAATAAAAACCAGAGAGCGCGAGACAGAGGGAGCGACAGAGATAGAGAGAGAGAGAGAGAGAGGGAGAGATGGGACAATTCGCATCAGCTGGAATTATGTATAAATGTAAATAAAATTGAGCTGCATGCAGAAATTATATTTCAGCACGTGATATGAACACAGTCGCTCATTGTGTATGTGTGTGTGTGTGTGTGTGTGTGTGTGAATGGCGGTGGATTGTATTGAGACAGAGAAAGAGAGACACACTCACACACACACACACATACTCAGACGCTTGAGCATGCACAGCTGCAAAAGTTAACGAAAGAAGATACAAAACACGTATTGGTTGATGGGTGCAGCTGCTCGCTGTGTGTGTGTGTGTGTGTGTGTCGGTGTGTGCGTGCTGTGCTTAAGCCCCATTCTGAATGCAAGTTGCAAAAAATAAACTTTTGAGCAATTCATTTTGCTCCATAAAGATACAGTTACAAAGTACTTTGGGATTTTTTGTTTTTTGTTTTTCTGATTCTTTTGCTTTTCATATAAAGTTTGCTCTGGCGCAGAGGGCGGGGTCTCTCGCAAATAAAAGTTAAACTCTATGGAAAAATCTCTGATTTCGTAAACCTCATGGCTGGAATAGTATGTGCGTTATTTATTTAAGTTTTCTTATTTGATTGGAAAGTTAAAGCACATACAGTTATGTACATAAATATGGCATAAAGGTAGGCATATATATACACATACACACATATATACATACACACACACACCCACACACACTCACACCCATACACACACACACACACACACATGCTTACACATACATATATACATATGTATATATGCATGTATGCATGTATATATATGTATAGCTATGTCAAAGTATTAGTGGCATACATTAAATCGGGCTTCCAAAAAAGAAAATAAAATAAAATGAAGTCAAAATTAAAAAAAATTAAATAAAAAATTAATCGAAAAAAAATGAAAAACAATCCAAATACGTGAAAGTTGAGTAAAAAATCGAAATGAACTCAAAGTTCAAACAACGGAAACAACATTTGTAAATAACTACGTAAATATAATAACTATTCAAAAACATGTTCATTTTTAAATACTGTTATTCTTTTCGTTTTCTTTTTTTTTATAATCAAATAATATTTGTATATTCATATATGGTTAATTGCATTACCTTTCGCACTGCCGCAGCGTCCACGATGCGATGATCCACAGGGAGACCATAAAGACCAATAGAACCGTTCCCGGGCATATTGTCATTAGTGTTTTTAAAACAAATCTAGTTTAGCAAGGAAACGAGAAACGAAGTATATATTGGATATATATAATATTTATAGTATTTCATTATAAATTCATTTCACTTTCATTAAGTAGAGAACTCTCGATCTTGACTTTAAGAACAAAAAAAGGGAGAGAGAGAGGAAGAAAGCAGTGGGACAACTTGCAAAAATATATAAAAAGTAAAGAGTTTAAGAAAAAAACTTGTTTTCCATCTCATTTCACTCATTATATTCTTCTTCCGGTAATCAGTGAACAAATGTGGAAGCAAAGGTAATGGTAAAATCAGCTTAACATCTAATTTAACTAAAATTTCACTTTGTTCATTTAATACCTCTCGCTGCATAGATCTGGAACTAATTGGAATTGATGGGGATTGGAATTGGAATCGGAATTGCGATTGCGATTTCCATTGTGAATGCGTGTGGACTTACCTTGTGTTAAAATTAATCCTATTGAGAGCGCCGATGCTCCGTGATGATGCGTCTGTGAATAGCTTTGAATGTAGCAGCATGACACGGCAGATTAAATATAATCGAAGGAACATAGGTAGTGATAAAGCTACGTCGTAGGGCACCATTTCGGTGCCAATTGTTTTATTTTTATTGGCCAATTTCGTCGTCCACTGGAAATAGTATTCGCCAGGAATTGGATGTATAGCGCATATAAAAAGTTCTAACCCTATTTGACTAATTCGTTGCCATGTCATTGCGATCCTCCAATCGTCGGCGCAGTTATCTATCATGAATAACTGCAATGCGCACAGACACACACACACAGACACACACACACACATACGCATGTACACACAGTTACACAGATTTAGATATAGACACATATATATACATATAAAATATATATATATATTTGGAGTTTCATTTCAGGAGTTGAATTTTATTTTTATTTCGTTTATTTTTTTCCGTTTGGCGCAGCAGCAAACACAAAGAGAATGAAACAGAGAGAGAGAGAGAGAGAGAAAGGGAGAGAGAGAGAGAAAACAGAAATTAATTATTAATTATAATTGGAATTTTATTGATTTGTTTATTTGCGACTAAACAAAATGAAAAAACACCCAAAAATACGAGCAATGAATTAATTGACAAATTACAACGTCTATGAGGTGTACATGTATTAGGTATAGAGGTATGTCTAAGTATGGCTAAGTGTGTGCGATAGAGAGAGAGATAGAGAGAGAGAGAGAGACTGTGTGTGTGTGTGTGCGTGTGCGTGTGCGAGTGTATTGGTGTGCTAGTGTGCGTGTCGTGCAGTTTGTTGCATTGCAAGCGATGGGGGCGTTGTGGGCGATACCTAGGCTGGACTTGTATGGACATCTAGCACTGTAATCGATAACTGTAACGATAATAAAAGCATTTGCAAGACCTAACTAATGATAGGTGTAACAGATGTGAGTGTGTGTGTGCGTGTGATTGTTATCGCTAACGATATCGATAGCTTTCGCAAGTGCTGCTACCTACTATAATTGATATGTTATCGATAACGATAACGCACACAATAGGGTGCGTTAAGCCTGATAGCTACCAATTCGTTTTATCTATAACGATATATACAATATTGATAACGTATGAATCGCTAGCTGTTTGTTATCAATGGCGATACCGATAACAAAAGGTCGTTAAAGCTGTTAGGTGCCAGATTTCATATTCGCTAATTCGATAAAGATGAAGATAATAAAACGAGCTATCCACTTGTTGTTCATAATGACTGCGAAAATTGCTACCTGATTATTCATAATAATAACGATAGTTGCTACCTGATTGTGAGCGCTTACGATAACGATATCGTTTGCAATGGCTTGTAAAATCTTTTAGCTACTATGTGAATTATATTGGGAATCAAACATAGTAAAGCTGCTAACGAGCTAGTCGATTATAATTGATATCAAATACTTCGATAATGTTATCGATAAACGTGCTAGCTGCTAGTTATCGATGACGTGCCGTTGTTTGTTAGCTCCAGTGTCATAGTAGGGCTTGCATTAACATGTGGTTGCATATCGATAACGATAACGATAACAATAGCTGCTGCTGCTTCGATCTACTGTTGATGCATCTATCGGTAGTTGCCTACGTGTGCTTAGCTAACATAAGTCACTAACCAGGTGCATGGGAGTGTGAGTGTGTGTGAGTGTGTGTGTGTGTGTGTGCATGTGTGTGCGTGTGTGTGTGCAAAGTACTTACTGCTCAAAGGTAGGCGACGTGCGTGTTCTCGTGCTGTTAGCACATTATTATTATTATTATTATTATTATTATTATGATTTTCTTTTTAATTTGGTTGCTTTGATTTTCTGTTACCTTTTTCTTGCTTTTTTAATAAGCTCACATCAATTTTGAATTAACTTAATTCGCCCCTGATGAGAGTCTCTTGATTTAATTAAATCGATTGCAACTGCACTCGAGCTCTTGAGCTAAGCCAAATCGTTTTCCTCATTATTATACATATTTCTCTACCCCATCCTCTCTGCGCTCGTGCTCACCCTCTTTCTCTTAAGTGAGCAATCGATTGGGTCAAGTGCTTGGCAGCCAATACGCAAATAGTTGTGCTGCAGCCCACTCGTCCTGCGAGCGTTAACTAATTTAGTTGGCTTGCCTAGCGCCAAAGTGGCTTAAGGCGTTCAAGTGGCTCGCCTGCGCGAGTGTGACCAGACTTGCAAAAGACTAATTTAATTGAGCCCTTCAGAATTTTAACCCCCATCAGCGTTGCTATGCTGCGGAATGCCAAGCTGAAGGACCTTTGGTAGACTACGGAATATTCAACTTAAGCACTTTGGTACATTGTAATGCTCCATGAAAATTTTGGTGCATTGCAGAAACTTAAACTTGAGCAATTTTGGTACTAGAGTCTTTAGTATAGCATCGAGTATTATCATCTTCTCAACATAAAAACAGTTGGTACAATGAAGAATTTAAAGTAGAAGAATCTCAGTGAGTATGTAAACCTTTACACATAGGAATATTTGGTACAGTATAGAGTTCGGAGCCTCAAAAACCTAAGGTACAATGTCCTTTGGAGCAATTTAGAATCTCATCAAAAGAGAACTCGAGGCAAATCAATCTTTGATACAATCCGTAATTCTAAGCTTCAGAATTCAGAATTCAATTCCAAAATACCTTCACTACATTGCAGAAACTCAAGATGAAGAATCTTTACAACAAACCACAATTCCAAGCTAGAAAACCTTTGATACAATAGAGAATCCAAAACCTTTGGTACATAGATATTGATAAACATTTGAGCCCTCGGTACATGTAATCACATACACAGTTCAATCGAGTTTATCAGAGTAATATATCCAGATCGAGGCTAACTATGATATTCTATAACTATAGATTAGCTCAAAGATTAATTATTTCAGAATGGTACAAGACGACTTCATCTAAATATATTCAGATACACTAAGCAGAAGATAAATAATTCGTTGAGCTTCCAATTGTTTCGGCAATAAATATAGATGTATATAGACTTATGCTATATACATAGTATTTATTGATTTTCTATATATCGTATATATCACATTAGGGACACATACAATATACATGGAGATAGAGCTGGAGATATTGTTAGTTATAATTAACGTACTTATGATAAACGAGCGTGATTCAATCTTGACTGCGATTCGGGTCAGGTAATTTGTTGATTATTTCATTTTCACACGATTTGTGTGTTTGAGGTACATTTTAGGGATCGTATAGAGAGTATATAGTTAACTTAGTTAATCATAGCACAGTGAAGCGGGTCGAACATTTAAAAGCACATTGGAGCATCTAGATATGCATATACACTAGAGTACGCTAGACTAGAATAGACTACACTACACTACACTAGGCTACACTACACTACACTACACTACACTACACACACACACACAGATTGGATAAACAAATCACATGGTGTGAATGTTGCGTGAGAGGCGGGGCTTCGGGGGGTTGTCGGGGATAAAGATTGCTTTGGGGCAAAGGGTAAGAGGCGGCAGCAACAGCTGTTGGTTAGTGGGCGTGGCAAGCCCTTTTGCTGTTGCCATTGAGTTGAGTATGGTATTTGAGTAGTTTGAATTGTTGTTGTTGTTGTTGTTCGAGAGTATTGGCTTGTGGCTTGTGGCTGTGGCTGTGGCTGTAGCTGCGAGCCGTGTGTTACGTAAATACGATTGTTGCGCTAGTTACGATAGCTACGAGTATTGTATTAATATTTTTTGCATATGAGTCATTCGCAAGTTAAGCCGATTAATCGAAAAGAAAACAGCAATTGAGAAGCTATTGAACAGAACTAGATACAATTTTAGGTTAAATATAAAGCCTGACACACACACACACACACACACACACACACACACACACACACACACAGAGAGAGACACACACGCACGGCTCTGACAAAGTCCTGTGAATTTTTTTGTGTTTTTTTCTTCTTCTTTCTTCATTTGATTTTTTGGCAAATTGAAGCACCGTTCGAATCTTGGTGATTAAAGAATGGATTTTTGATGCTTTTACCGAATCGACTTAGCAATGAGAATGCTCATATGTTTGTATGTGTTAGTGTAAGTGTCTATGTATATGTATGCATGTGTGTGTGTGTGTGTCTGAGTGTGTGTAATGTTTTCCCCTTTATTGTACATACATACATACATACATACATACATACTATATGCAGTTTTGCAGTTGTGGACTAGCACTACACAAATGGCCCCGCAAATGCGATTGGTGAAACGGTGATTGGTTGATTGCTTCTGGTGCAGAACTAAGCAACGGTTATTTTTATTCTGTTGTTGTTTGTTTTTGTTCTTGTTCGGGTTGTTGTTGTTGTTGTCAGTGCTGCTTGATCAGCTGTATGCCATTGTCTCGAGCCGCCATATTGTCAAGTCATGTGTGCGTGCGCGTGTGACAGAGCTGCAGCTATTGTTGCTTGCTCAGTCGCCGTGGAGCGGCCATTGTCATGTGTTAGAGCGAGCTAGCTTGATATATGCACATAGAGATGTGTAATTTATATCGCTTGCCTGCAGCTTTGTATGAGCAATTATATTATTCGTGTTAAATGAACTAGCAAACGCGATCGAAGCTAATTAAATATGTTTAAATATTGCAACTGAACGATAGTTTCCTCACGCACACGTACACACACATATAGATCCGCTTTTTGTTTTTTTTTTTTTTTTTTTTTTTTTTTGTTTTCTTTGCTCAACTAATTGGAAACAGCTTGAAGCGAACTAATTTGAACAACGATATCTGGCATTATAATACCGTATTTGTTATAGCCAAGCATTGAAACGTATTTTCAACTAAACATTTAAGTGGATTTGCTAATAATCCCGGCTATGTCCACTGCGGCTTTAGCATTCGTATTTGGTACATAGCTCATGTATACTTATGCAAGTATTTGGTACATGTACTAGTACGTTAATGGTACATTTACACACATATATATAGTTTCATTATATATGTACCTAAACAAATACTAAGAACAGCTTTGGGTACATGACGGTTCATGTCCATTTATACTAGCTTAAGGTACTAGATACATGTATGTATACAAATACAGGTAGTAGGTCCATGGTGCATGTACGGAAATTCAAGCTTTAGGTACATGGTACATGTGTTCACACAAGCATCGGGTATATTATGTATGAGGTACATGAAGCACACAATATATTCCATACAATGTCAACAAATACAAGTCGCAGGTAAATGGTACATGTATGTATATAATATAGCTGTATGGATGTGGCGTATCGTTGTTGCTGTTGCTGTAGGCTGTTGTTGTTGTAGGCGGTTGTTGTTGTAGTTGTTGTTATTGTTGTCAAGCTACTC